TATTGTACTGTAAATGCAATTACAGTACTAATACGGTAAACATTTTTACAGTAAATTACTGGCATCCAGCTGCCAGTAAGTTACTGTAAAATTTACAGCAACCTATTTACAGTGTACAGATTATGGAATAGTACAAATTTCTTGATAATATTACAGTAATATCCTGTTCTTTTTTAAAATCAAGTATATCCATGCAGTCTGCATTTACTAAAATACACGTGGTACTGTGATAGAATGCCACCTTTGCAATTAGTCAGTTTGTGAAATGTTATTCCTGCTAGATATTCCACGGTCAAGAAGACTACATAAAGTAAACACAGTGTTGAGGAGCATGGTGAGTAAAAGATGCCAGCGCTCTGCTGATTCAATAGCTGAAGAATTCCAAACTTTCTCTGGCATTAATACCAGGGGGGGAAAAAACTGTCAGGTGGGAGCTTCATGGAATAGGTTTCCATGGCTGAGCAGCTACATGCAAGCCTCACATCACCAATACAATGCCAAGTGTCGAATTGCGTTGTGTAAAGGACCCTGCCACTGGACTCTCGAAGCAGAGGAAATGTGTTCAGTGGAGTGACGAATCATGCTTTTCTATTTGGCAGTCTGATGGGAGAGTCTGACTTTGGTGGATGTCAGGAGAATTTTAGCTGTCTGACTGCATTGTGCCAACTGTTTGGTGGAGGAGGGATAATGGGGCTGTTTTCAGGTTACTTCCAGTGAAGTGAAATCTTAATGTTATGCTTCCAACTTTGTGGGAACAGTTTGAATTCTATTCCAGCATGACTGTGGCCCAGAGCACAAAGCAAGGTAAAGACATGGTAGGATGAGTCTGGTGTGGAAGAACTTGACCGGCCTGCATAGAACCCTGACGTCAACCTCATGAAACACTTTTGGGAAGGAAGATCGCAAGCCAGACCTTCTCGTCCAACATCAGTGTCTGACCTTACAAAAACACAAAATCAAAATCTTGAAGAAAGCCTTCGCAGAAGATTAGAAGCTATTATAGCTGCAAAGAAGGCACCAGCTCTATATTAATGTCTCCATATTTAAAATGCAATATCATTAAAATCCCCGTTGTTGTAATGGTCAGGTATCCCAATGTTTTTTTCCATGTAGTACATTTGATACATCAGAATTTTATGGCTCATATAGCATGATGTAAGAAAATATGGTAAAAAAACAAGACGAAATTCTAATAGCTTGTAATGTAAAGTGTAAATCAATTGGAACTTTTTAATAGTATAGCAGACTACTTACATAAATAGCATATAAATATCACTTGTCACGCCATACCTCCCAATAATATGTTTTAGTAAGATGATATTTAAATGCTTAGTTTTATGATAAAAGCTCTGTAGTTTTATTGCATGGGGCAAATCAATGCAATGCAATACAGTGATTGAGAATTAAAGACTTGCCTGATGTATCATATTTGATACATTTTTCACATGATTAAAACATGTATGGATAATCAGGTATATCTTAAGTTGCTTCAGTCCAGTAATTATTAATCTTGTAATATTACTAACAATATGAAAGTTATTTTTGCATTTAATTTGTAAAGATTTCACAGCAAAAACTCACGTTACTGAATAGAGGCATTTTCAGAATTATACTAAAAGGCCCTTTACTTGCTAAAAACTATCAATCAGATGGCAGAAGGCATGTAGCAGATTTTGAACAACAGATTTTTCTGCAAAGTTTTGAAATTTGTGTATCAAATATAATAGTATGCTTTAGAGTTAACATGACTTTTTAACACAGAGACATACATTAAAACATATTATTTCTTAATTCTAAAATCCAACAAAATTCCAAAGAAAATCTATTAAAAATTTCCAAGAGCTTCCAAAATATTGGCCTCCAGAATTTTTCCTGCACTTTTACCAATCACAGCAATTACACAGCATCACTTCCAAGACAGCATTTCCCTGACGAGGATTAGATCTAATCTCCTGTAATGCTATTTACGCACCCTTCCGTAGTGTCACTGGGTGAATGGTGGAGAAAGTAAGTCGAAATTACATATTCAGAAGGTTCCCATTCTCTGTAAGAGGGCCACTGGTTTCCCCCACCTTGTTTCAATAACCTTCCCATTAGTTGGATAATGCAGGCATTCTAAATTTAATTTTTACATCTGCAAAAATCATGTACAGCTCCCTTACTTTAGAGAAGATGGTATGTAAAACAAATTCCAGAAGTTACAATGCAAATTATGGAGGATATTTTTCATACCATGTGTATAGATGTTCCCAAATTCATTGTGCAGATAGAACAAACTTTGCAGACAGTCTCTGTAAGTGGATATAGGCCGGTATCCTGTCAGTACATACTTGTTGAACTGAAGATGTGGCGGTGAATTCTTAAAATCCCGAAGTTTTGGCCCAGTAAAAATATCCATGGCAGAAAAAGTAAAATATGCTCAGGAGTCCTTGACCACCTTCCCCTGGGAGGAAAGTCTGTATCTCTTCAAATGTTTTAAATCAAGCTATAAATACATAGTTTTTAAGAACATCCTAGCTAGTGATGGCAAAAGTTGTAACTTTCTGGCACCAGATACCCATTGTCTCGGAAATACTCGGGTGTAGAACTGCAGCAACTTGTTGCTTGCAAAGAAGCTGTGGCCCAATTTACTGCTGCTTAGTGTCTTAGCCAATCAGCAGGCAGCAGTCAGACTCAGCAGAGGTCAGCTCATGGAAGATTACAGTTCCTTAAGTACAAACGCTAGCCTACCGGCAGACTTTGACACATGCTTTTTTTTATTTCTTATTACCCACATTTGTTTCAATATGATAATCCCAGGACATCTTTTGGTGCTATAGTCCAGGGAAAGCTTTAAAGACTTAAACAAGGCTTGGATTTAGAGTTTATTTATATACATACATAGCCTTGCCACAGGAAATTAAAAATAAATAACAATGGCTTCTGGAAACAAAATAACACACATCTACATGAAATAAAATACATAAAATAAATTTTTTGTATTACAAAAGTATAGACAAATATGGAATGTAAAGAAACAATGAAAAGAAAGAAAGATGCATAAGTTATAATCATTTATAATCTATAATGTCTTTATTTTACAAGCAGCTATTTAATTTCAAGCAGGGTAACAAACATTGAAATACAAAACTAGAAGTTAAGGAGAACAAAAGACTCACATAAAACGATAGAAAATGTACAACATTCACAGAAACATTAAGTGTAAACTGGAGAAATTAAGTGAAGATCCACATTTTTGCAATATGAATGGCCACTTCCAAATTATCCTTAGGAGAGAAACAGAGGCATGAGCTGGAAAAAGTGACACATTGCTATTATTCATATGATTTAAATTGTATTAATGTTAAATGTCTATACACATTATCCATACCTTGGTATTTATTTCCACAGAATCCATTCAATTTGTATTTGCCTTCCTTTTCTGTTAAAAAGAGCCAACGTTTAATGCACAAAGTTTAGAAATTATGCCACATTTACATTTTTAGGTTATTTTTGTTTGTTTTATTTTGATAGAAAATACAATATGCATTAAACTGTGCATTTAAGTATGAAATGTCAGTAATTGTGGTAAATCATTGATATTCAAATAGTTACATATTTATAATAATGAGAATAAGAAATTATTCTGAAAATGAATATAGTTCAATAGTCTAGCTGTTGTTAGTTGCCAGTCGACATAATGTGTAATCACAAGTGAGCATCTATTAGGATTTTACCTGTCTGGGAGTTGCCTTATGGGTGGAAGTGGAACTTGAGGTGCTGCTGGATGTGGACCTGTTGTGGTGGTGCTGGCTGCTGCTTTAGAGTGGGCAGCTCAGGCTGAGGGAATACGGGTGAGGCAGGCACCTCAGAAACAGTAGACACATCAGGCACAGAGACAGGGGCCAGGGAGGAAGCGTCCAGAGTGGCGTCAAATGAGGTGACAGCTGGAATGTGAGGAGCGGGGCGCACAATGGGAACACCAGGGAAAGAGACTTCTGCAAAACAAAATCGGTAAATACCAAACGTACAACATTCACATAAACATCAAAGTTTTGAACATTTCTTTTACCTTCTGGTTGTACTCTTCCTTCGGTATAACCACCCGTTCCTTGAACAAAGAGGGTGAAATGTGAGGAATATTTATATGCATATTTACACACTGCATACCTGTAGATACAATCAGTGTCAACAAATGCTTGTACCGTATTTGTCAATGGATTGTGCATTCGCCTCTCCAGCTCCTGGAATATCAGGATGGGGTGGAATCTCTCCATCTCCCGAATCAAGCACAGATACACAGAAAGACTCAAAGAACTGGCTGTGTGTACAAGACACAGATCCAATCTTTTGACCATATCCATTTTTTTCTCCTGCCTGTATACATTCATATAAGACACAACTCATATCTGTTAACATGAATCCCTACTAGAGTAATTTTATGGTGACCTCTTTCAATGACATTGTTGACCCTCTGGTTTTGAATGGGTGTATAATAATAAAAAAAAATTATAATTCACGTCAGGTGGTTATTTGACTTTAATGTACACCAGATGTGATTGTCCTGCTTATACCATGATCACTTGCCAGCATAGATAAAAACTGCACAAATTGACTGAACAGATAAAAATAAAGGTAGTTTTTGTTATTTATGGAAGCTTATTTCCAGTATGGAATGAAATTAAATGAAAACATTTTCATCTCACAATTCTGAAAATTTTCCCCTCAATTCTGAGTTTATATCTCACAATTCTGACTTTTTTTTCTCAGAATTTTATTGTTACTGGATCTCACATGGATTTTTGTGTTTACATTTAATTTACAATAAATCATTTAGCAAACGCCTTTATCCAAAGCAACTTGCAAATGAGGACAATAGAAGCATATTGTATTTACATATGTGATTCTGTCAGATGTGAGTAAAAACTTACTTGAATGGAGATACACATATCTGAAAAAGCATAGACAAACATGACTAACCAAATTGGTCAATGGATTTCTGTCCATGAATCTTAGGACCTTGGTACAAAGCCTCCAGGCTTCTATTCAAATGAGAAAAAAAAAGATCAATCTTGCATTTTCTTCATTAAATTATAGGCTATAATGGAATTGCAACATAGAATTTCAATAGTTCTTGCTTGATTAATAAATAGTATACTAAATAGATGATGTATATACCTTCAACAGATTGGCCATCAGTCACGAGGCCAAGGAGTTCATATGACACTGCTGGATTACCTGAAGGCCATGTAAACAAAGTCAGAATATCAGGCATTATATACTGTGTATTACAGTGATTTTACCATGGGTAAGTACAAAACAATTTTTCGTAAGTATGCTGTTTGACATGATTCACGTACAGAGGAATGATAAATAGGATCTTTAAACTAAAGTATGAATGAATAAGTTCAAAATAGATGTGAAAAAGAAACAAGTCGCACCATATATAGCTGATTTGGCATCACCATCACAACTAACATAGTTATATTTATATTAAACTGCACACTTTGTAAATAACATATCTGCACACTAATAAACATCTGTATACTTATCTAAACAATTACTTTTGTTCCTATACTTCTATTTCTGTGTATAGTACATTATTTAATTTTTTTTATTTTTTATTATTATATTAGTGTTATATTACATCCCTACTGTGTTATTCCCATGTATGTCTGCACTATGTTTGTACTTTCTACACTGGAAACTCCTGTCGTCAAGTCAAATTCCTTGTGTGTGTAAACATACTTGGTAATAAAGCTCTTCTGATTCTGATTCTGATTCTGAAAACTTTGGCTTTTACCATATTTGCCAGACATAGCATCAGTCCTGAGATCAAATGGCTGACCACCATAATGAAGACCCTTTTGCCCTGAGAGAGTATTACAGTAAAATATTTTCACTTTATAATTTGTAGAAATAACATAATAAAAAAAATAAAAAAAATCAATCACCATATTTTCCAGAGGACAGAGGACCACCATATCCAAGTGGCTGACCATTGTAGGGCAACCCTCCAAAATCTGAAAATACAGAAACTCATATTTTAAAATATCTTCAAAAACAGATGTGCTGTATGATAAGTGAAAATGCTTTATTAACTCACCATATTTACCAAGTGATTTGGCAACAGATTCCGGTAGAAGAGGTTGAGAGTTGTATGGCAAACTACCATATCCTATTTTGGGGTCAGAGTACAGCGGTATTAGAAAAAAAACAAAACAATATGTAGTAAACAGCAGTCTATGTAAAGGTTTATTGTTAACTGTTTCATCAATTATTTATTTGAAGTTGAATATATATAATAATTTTACAACTACATACATTTGCAATTAAATAACAAAAAAAAAAAAAAGTGTAGGGTAATATCAAAGCATCTAATGAAATCTTTACCATGTTTTCCCAGTGCTTGAGGATTGTAGGGTTTGGCTCCATAGCGCTGACCATTATTACCTATAGGAAAGACACATAAATCAGTGTGTGCATTTAGGAATGCTGTTACAGTCACATTAACCCTAAATATTACAATATGAAGATAACATGCCATATTGTCCAGAGGGGTTGGTTTGATATCCACTAAAGGAACCACCAAATGGAAGTCCACCAATTCCTGACAAAATAAGACTGTGGTTACGAAAACTGAGCAAAGGCAAATTGACACTTACTTGATGAGTTCTTATAAAATTAGCAGATAGGAATTTTCTCAGACTAACCATATTTTGCTTGAGATTTTCCCTTAGATCCGAATCCTATTGGCTGCCCACCTTGTGGTCCAGCTATCAGAGTATAGAAAAGTCTAAATATTAACTAGATTGAAAAGTTTGTAGACAAACTTTAAAGGGGTCATATGATGCGATTTAAATTTTTCCTCTCTCTTTGGAGTGTTACAAGCTCTTGGTGCATAAAGAAGATCTGTAAAGTTGCAAAGACTAAAGTCTCGCAATGCAACGCGTAAAAAGACAGTATAAGTCATTATAATCAGTAATTATGTCCCCACTGGATGCAACAAATGCCTTGTTTATAATGGGTTTTACTGGTTTTGTATCGTCGCGCATCACCGTCGCACACACGGCATCACAACTGTTTCCTGGGAGAGTATAGCCTACAATGCCGGTGTCTGTTTCTATAAAGTGGGGCAATTCCAAGTTTGCAAGGACAGTCTGGCGCTTCATGACTCACAGCCTGCAAGTACGTTTTTATATTTAAAGAATTTGCCACCGACTATTCAAACGACCGCATAAACACATTGCATTACACCAAATACACAAAATAATGTTCTTTTTTAGCAACATCATATGACCCCTTTAAGTTGGCTTGAAAAAGCCTAGCTAGAAAGTTTGAAAAAGTTTGAAAAGCTTGCAGTCTGAAAGTTTTCAGTTTGAAGTAGTTTGAAAGTTAAAATAGTTTTAAAGATTAAAGTTTGAATGTTTTCAAGGCAATACAGTCTACCAGGAAAACAGAGAGGTATAAAACAGATCGCTAGGGTACCTGGGGTGGTTGCTAGGCTGTTTCTAGCATGACTAACATGTTTTTACCATGATTAACATGTTACTAGCATGTTGCTATCATTATTAGCATGTTTCTAGCATGATTAGCATGTTGTTAGCATGCTGCT